CTTTATATTTATCAAGTTGCCAAGATGTAGGATTCATTCTCCTGCGTAGAACTCTCTCAATCACGTCTCTCCCTGCCCCTCACTCAAAAAAAGTTAGAAAATCATGAAAAGATATAATATAAGTTGATAAAGTTGAGATTTAGAGTTTATCACTTGCCATAATTCAATATTTAAGTATTTTTGTGCATTGAACTCTCTTTAACCTCTCTGGTCCCTTTTTAGAAAATTTAGGAAATCAAAGAGAGAGAGAGATTTTACGAGGGATCTAACTCAAAGATAATTTAATTATAAACAAAGTTTGTCAAAATACTTAAAATTTGGTATATCTCTTTGATTCCTTCTTAAAATTTGGGACATCTTTTAGATTTTTATACCCCAATTTTAGGTATCATACTCTAACTTCAGGACTCCTAACCATATCTTCTCTGTCACTCTAAGGACCCATTTTATTCTTGCGACATGTGTCCACCTCTTAACTGTGACTTATATGTACTACAAATAATATAACACTAACGAGTGTCATGACAGATGACGTAGTTGATCAATGAGACCCAAAACGGTGTCAACACAAAGTTAGAACTTTGGAAGGATGCCCTAGAATCTAAAGGTTTTAAAATTAGCCAGACTAAGACAAAATATATGGAATGCAAGTTTAGTAATAGTAGGAGTAGAGACGAGGAAGTAGTTAAGATTGACAGTTAGGAAGTATAATAAAGACCGCACTTTCGATATCTTGGGTTGATAATCCAGGAAAATAGAGAGAGTGAGGAAGATGTCGCACACAGAAATAGAGCTAGGTGGGCAAAGTGGAGATGTGCAACTGGAATTTTATGTGATCGCGGGATACCAAAGAAGCTGAAGGGCAAGTTCTATAGGATAACAGTGAGACCAGCTTTGCTCTATGGGTGGGAATATTGGACGGACAAAAAACAATATACTTATAGAATGAGCGTAGCGGAGTTGAGGATGTTGAGATGGATGAGCGGCAAGACAAGAAGGGATAGAATTCGAAATGAATCCATAGGAAGAATTTAGGTGTGGCACCAATAGGCGATAAGATGAGAGTGGGTAGACTTAGGTGGGCTAGCCATGTGTGGCGCCGACCAAGTACAATACCTGTGGAAGGATTGAAAAGAGCAAGTGGTAGGCCCAAAAGGATGTGGTTGGAAGTAGTTCGAAAAGATATGGGGACTTATGGCCTCACTGAGGGTATGGCTTTTAACAGAGCAGAATGGTCGATCAAGATTCGTTTAGCCAACCCCAATTAATTGGGAAAAGGTTATGATGATGATGATTTCTCAATTGCGTATGGTTTTGCACACGCACACACATTTTCCTATTTCTGGAAAAATGTAAAAGTGTAAGCATAGGCATTGTGATCTTGTGTTTCATCCTGTTTGGACGAGAGGGCACCTTTTCAGTTCTCTTTCCTTATATAAAAAACAGAAGATAGTTGAATTTTTTTTTTTACCAAATTAGAACAATATGGAAATATTGATGTCTGTTGGATCCTTTACTTTCTTGGCAATTCATGTTTTGGATCCCCCAAAGTTAGAGTTGCCTCAAGTCATCTTTCAATGTGTTCTATTAATTGCAGTAGCCTCTGCAAGACATTGTTTTTGCCATGCATTCTGAAGTTTGACACACAGTCATTATAATTGGTTCTCTTCATTTGCCATGCAATCTGAAGGTGGAGACATAGTCATTGTAATCGGTTCTCTTCATTAAAGTTGATCATTCTCTGTGGTGTTGTATAGACTCTCCCCATATAATCAGTATCCGTGTGTACAAGTAGTCTATTTGACAAGCAAATTTATATGAGTGGAATAGATGATATAAGAAGCAAATTTATGTATTTGGCATTGACTCAGACATGCTTGCGTAGTGTGTAAATAAGTGATACTAGAAGCTCATGCATTGAGTACCATTTCCAAGGTAACAAGCAAGTGCAGGCCTCCTCTTCAGGTTTGGCATTCCCTTGTGAGTCAATGACGTGTTAAGAAATGGTGCACTTGGTGGGGTTTTGTTTAATATTTGAACTGCACTTTTAGTACGTCTGGTAAAAGAGTAAAATAAAAGAAAATTTGATGTTGAATCTATGCAAAGATTTGAGCCGCTTGCATGAAAATCAAGTCAAGCATATGAACCTTATGTTTAATATCATGAAGAAAAATTTGGAGGATGAAATTATATATTCAATGAACCCTGTGAATGAAGAGATGAGTAGGACAAAAGTTCGGGGTTATAATGACACAAATACCCAAGTATCACGGAGGAAAATATGTGTACTCATCGGTCACGTAATGACATTTTAGTACAACATATACAATCTGAAGTACATGTCTATGTAAACCCTGCCATCTTGATGGGGCTATGAAGCTAGTTTTGATGGGGCCATCAAATGAAATCTGGGGGCAATGATGCACAAATAATTGAAAATGGATGTTGGATCGTTGTCGATTCTTTGAGACATGTAAATACCAAAGACATTGTACTGCATCCATTGCTGTACGTGTGCATCATTGTATATAGCAGTTTGTTCGACATTGAGAACTCTATATGGACTACAGCAATTGTTGCAATGGAAGGAGAGAGGGTTTCGATGAATGACATTTTCATTTGACTTAAAGTGAACTGAAATGTTTTAACATGAAAATAATTTGGGACTATGGGATAGGTGAAAGAAAAACCTATGTGATCTTTTACCGAGGAATACATTTTTTTTTTTTTCTTCACCCTTTTCTTTTGGCAAAAGATCACTTACATGTGGTCTTTATTATAATAAGATAAATTTCAAAATAAAATCAACATAACAATAAAACCAAGATCTTAACTTGATGCCATTGAAACAACTATGCACTATGCTTGAGAATAATAGATAAGATTGCAAGAAACAAAAAGAAGAGTGCCGGAGATTACCTTAACCAGGCTTATTACACCCCACACCGAGTCACCACCATCTGATGGCGTGGGATCAACGGTCTAGCTTCAATCGCGAACCGGGAAAGCAAATTTCGGCCAAGCCACACCAATGGAACATGAACCCCTTTGATCACAAACTCAAACCCTAGGTGAATTCTCTTAGCAACCTAGTTTGAAAGAGATGGATTCTCTTTTTGCTAAACCCTAAAACCCTTGGCCATAAATCCATATTTGAGATATAGGAGAGAAAACTCCATAACTTAAACCCTTAGGTTCTGTCACCATGTGGGAGAGTGAGATCAAATATGAGAGAGATAAACTTTCTTAAGAGAGAGAGATAGAAAGATAAGGTGTTGGGACTTTTTGGTAGAGACAATCTCTTTTTATAGGCTTTGAATAAGATTAGGGTTTCTTAGGGTTTTCTTTGGCGTGCCTCTTCTTGTGAGATTGAACATAGACCGTTGATCAAGGGTGACTTGTGGGGTGAGAGATTTGAGCCATCCGTTCCATAGATGGGCCATCAACATTATGGAAGGTGCGTGAACCATTATCCCCCTTTCCTAAACTATTTTCCCATCAATAGAAATTAAATAAATTAAATTTAATAAAAATATTGTGCATACCATAAAATAGCATAAGTCTACTCAATCTTTTCACAAAATCTTTCAAAGATATATCAAGTCAATATTTAGTCAATATCTTCCAACCATATGGCCACATGCCATATCACCAAAAAATAGGAAAGATAATAAGGGTGAGGCGTGCGACCCAAGGGAGGCACTCATGGGCCCCACTTTCAAAAACTATGGCGGGCCCATGTATACAATGGGCCCCCATGATATTTTTATATATTTAAAATTAATAAAAATATTTTAGAATATTATTTGAATATTTAAACAATTGTAAAATCAATATCTTTAATTTTATAAATCCAAAAATTATAAATAAAATATCCAGGGGTTCATAAAAATTCAAATAATAATCTTAAAATAATTTTCATCATAAAACAAACATAATTAAATTAATTTGATGGGAAAATGATCCATATGGTTTAGGAATCAACAATCATGGGGCACTCCACCTTCAACTGTGGACTACAGACCACACTTGCTTTATCAGACCGACCCAGTGTTTTCCATGACCCACAGTCCAAGCAGGGGCTTATTAGCGGGTCACCAAAGTCCGGCTGATGAGCCAAGGAATCGCAATCCCAGTATGTGGATTTCAGATCGTCCCCTAGAGACGAGTCAAGGTCACCTAGACCTGATGCGACCACAGCTCCTATAGTGCATAAGGGTATCTCTCGCACATGCATACGCTTCACCTTAAAAGGTGGATTTCTGGCTTTCCCGAACGATTTATCGATATACATGCCGTATGATGGCACATGGATGAGGCTTTAGCCCTCGTCTCTATAGGCCACCATCACACACAAGGGTCACACAGTCTCTTGGCTCACTCATTCGGGCATATTCTTCGACCTCATCAAGGGCTAACCCATTAGAACCCTTCTCGGTTTGTTCTTTATGCCCAGGTAACATGGGTTTTTTCCAACCGACTGGCCTAGATCGTCAAGCACATGACGGTATCTGCAAACATCGTTTTCTTAGTATGGCCCACGAGGAACCACACTCTCACTAAGTTCATGTTCCAGTATATCATTTCATTTTACAAGCACTCATAACGCCATTAAAGACCACATGAACCCAACAATAGGAACATGTTTATTGAAGAGAATCGCAATGTAGACTGAGGGAGGAACCTTATGCAAACACATAGGTAACGGGTCCAGCATATTCATGGTTCCATGGATAGTTTACCAATGCATTATAGGTCATCCCTTGTAAATGTTTACATATGTATACCGTGAAAATGTAATATATGTTCGTGTCCAGTGTCTTTGATTTCTTACATGTTAGCTTGGATATTTTACAATCAAATTTTGGTAGGGAATACATTTATTTGACAATGTACCTAATTTTTTTTGTTGTGAAAGCACCTGTCATTAACATGCTGATTTTGATCTTCAATCAATATTACTGAAATACTACAAGTACCTCATTATCGTATTTTTGCAGTTCTGCATCGGTACCATAAAGGATGATTTCTTGGGAGTTATAAATGATCCAGGCGCAACCGCATAGAAGCCCTTTTCAAGTATCCAACTCTATATGGTATTTTTCCTTTTCCTATGCTCGTCCAATTTTGTTAAGTTTGACCATTTTCCATTTCCATTTCCTCAAGTTTGACTGCATTACAATACTAGTGTAATCTGAAAATTTGTATAAACACTAGTGTGAGATTATGCTTTATGTACTCTTATTTGAATCTAGAAATATGCTCTGTTATTTGAACAGGAATTTGATATTTGATCAAATGAATGACACAGAAATGTCATATTGGTAGGATTTCTGTCAACTTTGGTTGGCATGTTCTGCAACTTTTGCATGAGGGTTGATGATGCTGAAATGCAAGTGTTCTTGGGTTCTCACTTATGAAGCAAGTGCAAGTCATGATATGGGTTTTCAAATCTGATCACAGGTTTTATGATGCCAGGTTATAGAATCTGAGCATGGCTTTCCTCAGTTTATGGACAACCAATTTGAGAAACTACTCACCAATTGAAATTCTTGGGCTTTGGGTTTTATAATAGTTCATCCTTTTGGACAAGAGTCTAATTTTCTAATGTGTTTCAAAGCAAATTTGACATATCAAGGTCATAAACAGTGTTTTGTTTATAATTATCAAAGTATTGGGAGGATCTTGAGGCAAAATGCACTATCTTAGCTACAGCTTGTGAATGCCATTGTAACTTATCAGATTCGGACAATCGTGCTATTCTTATGATCATATTTTGGGTTCTTTTTAATGCCTCTTGCATTATTTTCAATGATTGTATACTATTAGGTCCTTCATTATTGGTACAATGAAGTCACATATACTTTTAGCCATTGGATGTAAAGTATAAAAAAGTATGTTTTGGATTTTGTCTAGTCACCCTCCAGGAGATATTGGTCTCGAGCTTTTGTGAAAAAGTTTTGTTTTGTGTTGCACGTGGGTAGTAATATGGACAACGAAGTCTTAAAATTATGTTATTAGGATCGGACAAACTGGCAAACTTGTAATGGGTTTAGTCTAATCAAAATTGGTTTGAAAACTGGTTGGTCTAACATGTGAAATCTGATTTAAAAAATAAAAAACAAAAATATATTAAGGAGTTGCTCAACTTGAAGAATCAATCAAAAGGTCGCCCAGCAACTTAAAATCAAATTTGTTTTGGTTTATTATAGACTGGTTTTGACCAGTTTGTGACTAAACACGATTTTTAGTAAATGTTAAAGGGGACACTTGTTTTGATTGATCAAATTTAGATGATATCTTGCTTTTTCACCATCTCTTTAGGATGTGGTTAACATTCTTCAAACATTGATGAGTACTTTAAGAAGCATTTTAAATTGGAAAGTACTCAAATGAGGAAATGTGCAAAATTAAAGATTCATCTCATGAAAAGATTTGGATTCGGCCAAGCACCATCAAACACAGATCTTTTAACCATAACAAAAGATTTTCTCAATTCCAGATTCTTACTCATTACCAATTAATTAAAAACAAATGAGAGATTAGTTTGAAGCTCAAAAATTTGTCAGATATCTTTGCATTATCCATTTTGAAGATGATCAAATCCAGCTTTAAGGGCTAAAAACCATTTTAACGTTCACATGTGCAAGGAAGTCAACATTGCACCCAAGCTTTTCCAAATTTTTTTTTCATCCCTGGAGGAAATTGTTCATGAGGCAATTAAGTCTTTTCTGTACAAATGTGGGCTGATATAATTCTCTCTCTCTCTGTTGTTCATGAAGCAATGCAGTCTTTCCGTACAAAGGTGGGCTGATCTAAGTCTATCACTCTCTCATGTGCATATTAAACTAGAAAAAAGGGGGAAATTATCAAATAGCAAAGGTGGGTTGATCTAAGGCCCCCCCTTCTTCTCTCTCTCTCTCTCATGCACACTAAAAAAAGGAAAAATTATCAAAATAGCTAGGGGAATAACTACTTTAACATTTTTTCCATATTGCTTATTTAATTTCAAAATAACAATCAATAGACACGAGCACGAGTTGAAAGGGTAACAAATGTGTAAAATATAGAACAGTTCATCTCTTGTAGGTATTTTTAATAAATTAACCCTCAAAAAAGAAAAACACTATTCAGGCATGCATTGAAGAGAATGTTAAATATTCTTTCAGGCATACGCCAAAAAAGAAGAAGATATTATTGCATCTTGGTTACGACTGACAATCTGACTCTATGGCTCGAAGAGTCTCTCTCAACCAGGCATTTTTTGTTTATGCACTCAGAAGACCCGAGGTAAAAAAGAAGAAAGCAAACGCAAAATCCATGCTTTGCAGTGTAATGTCATTTCTTTCTTTAATTCACTTTTAATATGGAGAGAAAGCACAAATTACAAAGGCTGGCCATAAGCAGAACGAACTCTAAAAACATTTGGTAGTTATAGAAACAAAAAAAATGGGGGGGGGGATACTTGAGACGACAAAAATCTACAAGTCTGGTCGCCCCATTGCGTTATGAGGATGGAGTAGGAAAAGGCATCCTGAAAACTCAAAATAATCGCCAAAGCATTCTAAATGTGAGAGAGAGAGGGAGAGAGAGTTTTATCCGCAATCAGGCAGGAACTGGGCCTGTGATGCCAGCACGTAGTCTCAGTAACTCTGTGCGCTTGCTTCTCTCCATTTCATTCACTGACCATTCTATGGCATCTCTGATACCCAAACTGCAAACCAGCACAAGGGAAATTTAGGTATCAATCATGAAGTCAAGCAATTTATTTTTCGTTCTCCTAAATTTAATTGATGATTTATGTTTCCCTCCCACCCTCATGGTAATCCACAACACATGATCTCAAACTGCAATTTCCGAGAAATTTTTACGGTTTACTTTGAGTGCATGAGCACATGTGTTTGTACAAGTGGAAAAGTAAGACATCCAAAGTGGTTCTTACCCATCATATGCAGAAACAGCCAGAAACACATGAGATCTTTCGTCGAGCTCTTTCAAATCTAAATACCTTGCCACTTCTTCTGCAGATACAGCTCCAGAGAGGTCCTGTAGTCATTTTCAGGGTTAGAGCTAAACCAAATAAACATTGAGCTTTTTGACAATGACAAATGACAAGTAAGAAGCTTCAAATACTTCCAAAAATTAAACACAATTGGAAGATCAAATTAATAAGATACAATCTTTCACCAGATGAACTAATATTTTTCATGTGAATTATAAAAATCCACAAAAGTCCAACTAAGAAGATCCTTTAGGGTAATTGATGAACACACCTGCTTATTCGCTAGGATAAGAAGTGGGGCTCCCTGTAGATCTGTATGTCTGAGTATTTTCTCTGTTCAAATCAGTTAAATGACAAGTTAAAGCTTCATTTCTTTAATCAAAAGTGATACCGGTGTTGCTTCTTCTCAAGTTCTCAACAAATGGAAGAATCGTCTGGAGTGAATAGGAACATTACTAACCTAAAGCAGATTTTGAATCTTCAAATCGATGTGGACAGGCAGCATCAATCACAAATATGACAGCATGCGCCTCCTCGTAATACTTCTCCCAAATTGTACGAAGACCTGCCTGTTTGAGGAAGAATCAGATGATGAGCAAATTACAAGGAAAAATGATGTAAATAAAAGATTACAACGTAAAATAACACCACCATATTTTAGAATCGAATTTTCATACTGATTTAAATTTTATATGAATAACTCCTGCTAGCAATTCAAAGCTAATCATTTGCAACTTAATTTCCAAATAATTCTTTTTATCAATAATTTCCCTCATGGTTTCAGTTTTGCACGAACTTCAAACTTACCAAGCAGCTTGTGTAGTCTAGATTCTAGGAAGCCAAACAAGAGCACCATTTTCTTACTTTAATTCCGTCATGGATATGTATGCATACACATGTGTGGATGGATGTTTGCGCCTTCCCGCACATGTGCATGCACATAGACATGCACATGCATTCTTGAGTTAAGCATGATCCCTTTAAATTGCACTTCCATGTAATGATCCCAAGTTATCAACTGATGAGATACCTTACTAATTGCAATATAGAGAGCCATTTTTTCATGGCTTCTAATAAAAATGCTTTCATAGGTTTCTTGCAGAAAGAAGGTTAACAAATAACAATAATTCACTTACCTGACCTCCTAGGTCCCAAAAGACAAGTTTTGTTTTCTCTGCTTCGATACGTCCAATGTTAAGCCCAACTGTGGGTACAATTCGATCAGGAGGTAGTCCTTCCAGGTTTGAATACATTGATTTCAACTTTTCGAGTAAAGTCTGAACATTTTAACACAACCGAACCAAAATATGTAACTATTACAATCCTTTGTTCCTAATGATAAAGGATACACATACAAACACTTTCAGATTTATCATACCAAACAAACAAGGTGCTAAACCAACATTTTAATCAGGAAAGAGAAAATACTTTGTTTATAATTAAGAAACCATGAAATTTAGAGGACGATGAAAGGGTAACAAAAGCAACCTTACACAGTTGAGACAGCTTGATACGAGAAAATTACACAGTTCAGACAGCTTGATACGAGAAAATAATCATGGAAAATAAGTTTATCTACAGTTGAGAAACCATGAACATATCGCAATTCATGAAAGGCTCACAGAGAGCAGAAAAATGCAATCTTTGATTGTTAAAGATTGTGAAGGGAAAATTATACATTAAAAGATTAAAAAGAAAAATACAATTAGCAAAAGAATTAAAAGGTAAAATAAAATCTTGCAGTACTTGAAGCCTAAAATGAGAATTAACAACAGCGGGGACCTTGCATGGTCCCCTTGCCTGGGACTGCACAGTCTGCGCCCACCGAACCCAAAAAAAAAAAGACAAAAAACAAAATGAGCATTAAGGGAAAAATAAGAAAAGAAGTCAAAACAACAATCTGGACATGAACTTTAAAAAAATCACACAGGAATTGAAGGGGAAAATTTGCAGAACTGACATTAGTAAATGAGGAAGGAAAAGAAACAGGAAATAAATAGTTGATTACAGTTTTGCCAGCTTTGTCGATTCCAAGAATAAGAACATGGAACTCTGTCTTACTGAAGAGGTACTTCCAAAGTCCATATAGCAACGAGAACATCCCTTTGTCAACCAAGCTTCAGTATGGTTTCTTAGATTGTAGCCAATCCCCTCCTATATTCAAGACTCAAAAGGAGCCAGTCATAACTGTCACCAAAATATTACCTCTTGCATTGCCATCATGTTTCCTGGACAAAGAGAAACAACTCATGTTACTTAGAGAAGAACAGCAGGAAACTAAATGATAAGTGAAAGTTATTCGATAGAAAAGGACTTCACAAGCTTGATAAGGTGACCGACCCTGTTTTCTGAACCTCAGGTCTAGTTGGAAGGGTATTCATAGGAAACTAGAGACACACTATGGCAATGTCTATGTACATCGATTGTGAAGTCCTTCATATTTCAAGACTTCATATTTCAAGAGTAAAGTCCTTTCATATTTCAAGACAATGAATATGAGGAAACCGCCTTCTATCATAGCAAAATATTCACAACCATTGCCTAATTTACTCTCCAGCATATCTAAGATTGGCGATTCCTTTTCTTTTAAATAGAATATGCTAAGTGGTAATAGATTAGTACTTTAGGGTTAGAACTGCAACTTGTAAATGTAGGTAAAATCAGGACTCCAAAATCTTTCATGGATGTTTCAATTAGGACACCAAAGCCCTTGATTAAACTTTTTTTAATGGCAGTTTAAATTCTCTATTAAATTCATGCTCTCGTGAACGTGCAATCCATAGCTGACCCCAATTTGTTGGGAAAAGGCTTTAACAATGATAATGAGGATGATGTGAATGCACAATCCACGTCATTTTAAAAATACGAATATTTTGTTCGTTTATAAAAGATGGCATCAATCTCTTGAAAGTAACTCTGGAATTTTAATTACATAAATTCGTTAAATAAATAGTGTTCCATTTTGTGGAAGGAATAACATGCAGACTCAAAAACTAGCTCAACCCTTGAAGAAAGAACTGATTAGTCTAACATAACCTGCATGAATAACTTTGGATCCATGTGAATACAAATACTATTTGAATCCCTCACCCTCAAATTGACAAGTCAAAATCACATCATCATAATCCGAGCCTTATCCCAACTATTTGGGGTTGGCTACAAGTCAAAACCACCTCCAAGTGAAATTTCCAATGAAATTGGATACTCCTCTCGATATATTTTTATCTCTCATCATTATTATCTATCTAAAAATAACATTATTCTCTGTAAACTTTGTTCATCCTTACATATACCTCCAGCTCAAATGATTGTGTTTGAAATTCATCTGTTTGCATAAAATTTTATCTGCAATTATTCAATTTATGCAGTTTTACCCCCAGAGATAATATTGGTCCATTTGAATTTCAGGCACCATCTTGCTTTACAGAAAAATCTTCAGGTCATACCAAATGCATCTTTTCATAAGAGATATTTATACCTGCCAAGGAAACACTATAAAACCTCCAAATTTTTTTATTTGAGAAACAGAAAGCATGTCACAAATTTTAAAGGAAATTCTGAATATTCAATCAAATTAGGTTATAAGTAAATTTTCTATCTATATCTATGAAGAAAGAGAGTGCAGGTTAGGAAAGTGACTTGAGCCATGAATGAGCAAATGACTAAGTATTTACCCCAAAAACAGCATAGAGAAATGTGAAGGTGAAAGTTTGGATCCAATATGATCACATCATTGATTTGTGAAAAGAAGACAAATACACCATATATTATATACACAGGAAATTAGTACCTATACATAAACTAACAACCAAAATGAGCAATAAGCAGTCATATTCTGCAAACTCATCAGCTTCAAAAATTTTATATACATGATAATTGATAAAACATAAGAGTTTCATCTCTATACCAAATCAAACAAGTGTATAACAACACAAAATAAGAATAAGAAGAAAAATAATAAAAAGCAGAGGAAGGGATAGAAGAAGAAGATAATGGATGAACATTTTCCAGCACCTCACATGAAAAGCTTCATATCAGATCAGGCATGTATCATGAAAAAGTAGTCAAATAAAACTCTAACAAGATGAATTCAGAGTAATCTAAATGCTTAGTAATCGTGTTGTGAAGGAAAAAACACATTGCTAAATCAAATTAAACACAATTCACTACATCGAGTATAAATTTGTACTACAAAAATTTTGTATCATCATCATTAGAGAAAAATGATTTAAATGTTTCTCCAAATCAAAATGCATGTATCTAATTAACAACTTTGGCCTAGATCCAACTTAAAACACATCAATCCATGGAAATTCATAGAGCACAAAAGGCACTATCTGAATCAATGTTTCATTTCACATTCAGGCTGGGACTCCGCCCCTTGCTGAGGCGAGTAACTTGGGAGAGTCCGAGTGAGTCATCATCATTATCGTAGCCTTTTTCCAATTAAGTGGCTACACGAATCCTGATCCGTCATTCTGCTCTATTAAAGGCCATACCCTCAGTAAGGCCATAAGTCCTCGAATATTTTCGGACAACTTCCAACCATGTCATTTTGGGCCTACCCCTTGCCTTTTTCAGTCCTTTCACTTGAACTAACTTGGGAGAGTCCGAGTGAGTCCACTAGCCTAAGTCCTGACCGAGCCAAAGGGGGCCAAAAAGTTGGAAAAAAAAAAAAATTGTGAAAAAAAAAACACAATAACACAAAAAAAAAAAAAAAAGATCATACTAAATCAAAAAATGTATATAAAACGTGGACTAAGAAAATAAAATGATGTTATTGGCTTAAAAAATACAAAATCTGGAAAAAAAAAATAAATTCATAAAAAATATATACAAAATGAATGACAAATTACAAATCAATTGTAGTTGATCTATTAAAAACTAAATCAATTTTACGAATTTCAATAGAGAACATTGATTCAAAAAGCGGTCTGCCTAGCACTCCTAGCGCCTAAGCAGGCCACGTGCATCACCCAGGCTTGAGCAGACTAACTAGGAAGGCTATCCCGAAATTCTAAACCATCGGCAACTGGGAACCTTAATAAGACGGTCTCTTTGGGCCTTGAAACCCCAATCTACTGGGCTTAGTCAGGGGCTTTTTGTTGGCCATCCTGAAATTCTAAACCATAAGCAATTTGGGAACCTTAATAAGACGGTTACCCGTAGTGTCGGGGGGTGGGGGGGTATTGGTCTGGCTTGACAGTCAACAGCCTTTTGGGAGCACTGATCCCGATTTGTCTAAGTGATTGTACTTTGACTTCTTGAAGAGGAAATCCTTTGGGCATATGGCCGATCCGATTTGCCATCTTTGTGATATTTCTAATAGACAGGAGCTTTTTGAAGGCTAACCTGTGTTGTTGAAGCTTTTCTTGAGTTCTTTTTGGCCTCAGTAGTAGGGTACCCTTTGAGGGGTATTGGTTCCCAAGCTACTGAGTTTTTGCCTGCACCTTTTTGTTTGTTTTGGCAGTAAGGTACCCTTTTGAGGGGGCACAGTCTCCCGAACTGCCAAGCTTTTGCATGAGGGCTAGTCGTAGCCGCCTGTGAGGGTGAGCGCTGCATCAACATGCTTATTTGTCCAAGTGCGCTTTCGGGTTTTCACTTGAACTGGGTGGAAGTGGCGCCGCATAACAGTTTTCACCAATTCCCTTATTATTAGGCTCTTTTACCCGTGACTTCGTGGCCACGTCTGCCTGACCATTTTTACTCATGGTGCCCTTTCGGGTTTTCACTATGCCCGGTTTTCTTCTTTTTGGCTCTTTTACCTATGGCTTCATGGCCATGTCTGGCATAAAAATGATGCAATGCATGGTGGATGATGGGAAGGTCCCCTTATTGGTGGTAGGGATGGAAGAGTGGATGTAGGTTAGGTTCGAGGCGCATTCAGGGCTTATGGGGACCTTGAGGGTATGACATGATTGGGTGAGAGCGCTCATATACAATCTTAAATGATACTCGAAACAAGGTGAAGGTGTGGAGTCAACCCATGGTGTAATAGCCACTTCAAGGGTTTGAATGGTATGCATGCCGAGGTACTCACCGGGGATGGACCTGGTTTGAGGTGAGCACTCATTCATGGTTTTCAGCGATGCTCAGTAAGCGACAAAAGGTTTCAAGTTATTTAGGATGGGTTGGTCAGGTGGAGGTGACCATTCAAGAGTTTGAACGATGCCCGAGGTGAGGTGAAGGTGTGACTCAATTGGGGAATGGAGGTTTGTTTGATGAGCTGGATGATATGGGAACTCACTAGGGAGTGGCAACTTGTAAGAATTGCGACTCATCTGAGGAGTGATGGCAAGATGGGGTGATCAGCATCCTCATGGGTAGTGAGTCTGATGTGATGGTTATTGTGGTCATGAGGGGCGAGACTCAACTAGTGAGTTGGTGGACTCATGTGAGAGTTTGAAGGGTGAGTTTGAGAGTTAAAAGGTTTTAGAGGAGTTTGAGAGTTTAAAGGGGCAAGAGAATGAGAGAGCATGAGAAAATGTGAGGTCCAGGCGGTCAAGCCGCCTGGCTCGTGAGGGCTTGAGAGAGGTGAGAGATAAAGGTAAAGAGAAGAGGCGAACCAGGCGGATAGGGCGCTCGGTTCAATGTGTGAGGGTAAGGGGGGGAGGGCTAGGCGGTTATGCCGCCTGGCTTTGTGAGATATGCGAGAATGAGAGGTGGGAGAATAAGGAGGCTAGAGAGCCAGGCGGCGTGTGAGAAACAAGAGAGAAGAAAGAGAGGTGGGTCCGTCCCACCCCTTGTGGGCATGGCTCCCAAGGTTTCAAAAAACGCTAGGCGGCTTGCCTGGTGCCCAGCGCCTAGGCGGGCACCCCATTATTTTAAAAAAATTAAAAACGCCTAGCCCGCCTGGGCACCCGCCTAGCCAGGCGGCCGCCTGGGCTCCCTCCCAGGTACATCCGCCCGTGTAGGGTCACCTGAGTCTAGGCGGGCGGATTTTTGGTCCAGGCCGCCTAGGCGGGCGCCTAGGCTCCAGGCGGACGTTTTTTAAAACATTGATTGCTCCCCACCTTGGCGGACCCACTCGGATCCCGGGTGGGCCATTTTGGACAAGTCCGGGTATGCCCTCCGCAACAACCTCGGTCCCATAGCATTCCGACACCGTTTGGGTGTTTTTAACCTTTTGCCCATGGGATAAATCTTGGTTTCGGGCTATCTTTAAGGGCATGGATGATCATTTGGGCTGCATCGTTTTACTTCAATGCCTCCATCTTTCTTGAAAGGACCATTTCCATAGATGAACCAAATGGGGATAAGGGCTTTGTGAGGAGTTATGGGAGAAACTCCATATTTTTACTTTTTTACAATGTATAAAAAAGGGAGAGCTCCTTCATTTTAACCATTCCTCATCATTTTTTCGCTTTTAGAGAGTGAGAGTGAAGAGAGCTCCTCTTAGAGTGAGAAAGTGGTATATTAGAAGCTTAAGGGGCCTCTCAAGCTTGTGGTGCCCATGGTGAGCTTGTCTCAACCTGGTGCACGAGGTAAAAAGTCCACCTCCTTCCTTTTCCTTTGCTAGCATTGTTAAATGCCTTTTTGATGCTTATATGGTTTCCATGTTCCATGTTTCCCATACATATATTTGTTTCCATCTTGTGCATATTTTAGCATCTCTATGCACATTTTTGCATCTTTTGGCACATTTATGCAGCTCTTTGCACATTTATGCATCTTTTTGCCTATTTATGCATCTTTATTTAGCGCAAAGAAGCAAGTGTGGCGTGGTTGCAGAAAGGGAGTGAGTTTCAGACCGTGCCGAAAAGGCTGGGGGGCTTTCAAATTGATCTAAGAGGGCTAGCAAAGCCCAGGTGTGTCCACGAACCCAACCGCGTGAGGTAGGCACCAAACTCCCTCGCCACCAAAATCTCTCTCCTTGTTAATACCTATCTGCACACACGTGTACGTGCCGAACAATACACGTGCGTAGGCGGGTGCACGGTTTTCCAAGAGAGCGATCTCAGGCCGAAACCCGAACCGGGGCCTTGGCTGAGAGACTAGATAGATGCCCGACCTGGTAAAACTTGGCCCCGGAGCATTAAAAGTTAGGTACTTCACGTCTTCAACCTCCTTGTATAATTAGAAATCATAAGGCCCATACCCCTCAATGTTGACAGGATTTTAAGCATCAAAGCATCAAACAACTCGAGCTAGACACCTTGATCTCGAGGTAGAACGTGCATTCATCTTTTCATCCGTCAAATCATAAGAATACCTCAGTATTGTAATCGATGTAAGTATGCTTAGCCATGGTTCCCTGCTATTAGAATCGAGATCCTCAAAGGCTTTAGGACTTAAACAAGAGGTATCCTTGCATTGAAATCAATTTATTGAACCTTAATTACAGAATTGGAATCACAGTCGATTGGTTATAATACTAAATTTGAGGTTTTTGGGGTTCTTTATTGAATAAAGAAAGAAGAAATACTTGGTTTGTTAATATCTTTACTCTAGAACCTGGAACATTTTGCCCTATGAAACACATATGCACGTGACTTCTGTTATGGTTCTAAGTTGTTGGAAGCGCGATCACATGGATGTAGAAATCTCGATTCGAAAATGGTATAAATCTCGATTCCAGTTGAGTTGAAACTCAAATCCAAACTATGAATATCGATTTCAATTGGTTTTAAACTTGATTCCAAAGAGGTATGAATCTCGATTCCAATTGGGTTGAACTTGATTCCGACAAAGTAGGAATCTCGTTTCCTGCAATTCACTCTGCATGGACAGCAATTTCGACAACATGAACCTTACAGCCACTTGTGATTCTGCAATTCCAGTTCCTAAATCAATTCAAAATCTTAAACGCTCCAACAACTATGATCAAGAGATACATCTGTATTTATTGACCAGTTTCAAAAAAACTATTTATGAGATTATGAGCCCTTAAAATATTTTATGGCCTTTTCTACCTTAATTAAACTTCCATCAATCTCCTTCAAAACATTTTCAACAATGAGGTTCATTACATGAGCACAAGACCTAACATGAAACAATTGGTGATATTTCTCTCGTTAATAATTTGGCTCCTAAGGGATTTTGCTACAAAATTATTGGCATATTTGTCTATGACCATTAAATAGAAAACAATGAAATTGCATCAAATATAAGCATTAACAGTTTCAAGGAAAAAAAAAATATAAGCATGCCATAGTGAGGAGTCTAACATATATGTTAATTTCAGAATTCTCTTTTGAATGACATGATTAAAATCAATAAAATGAGTAGTTAAGCTCATACGCCCAAACTCCAAAAATCAAATGATAAACAAATTTTGCTAAGGGAAATTGGCCAGTCTCAGATAGCTTTTGCTCTCTTCTCTTTAAACTGATGATGTAACATCTTTCAGAATATTTATTGTGAGTAATTTAAATTGAGGGTTCAGAGTACCTAGAAATGTTTCTAAAAAAATATACAACGAACCATGCTAAACAGATATTCATACATTGCTATCATTATCACGAGTTCATCCTGGCTAAATTCTGGGTTTTAACTTAAAAATTTTTAGACTTGATGAAACTTCATTAAGGTTTTGCACACAATGGTTCGTCTTATGTCTACATAAATTTTTTCACATACATTCAATTTTCACACAACTCTTCAAATGTCACAATCAAATGACAAGTTCCATCTTGACCCTATCAATATTTCTCTTACAATGATACATTTTAGGATTTTCCCCATCTGATCAATCAAGCTTAGTAAAATCCTTCCAAAACGTTAGAAGTACAATATATGCATTTCTTTTATTTTCAAATGATATTGTGGTTATGATATTACAATGCTTTTCCTAACTTGGTTTCTTGAAGTTTTTACTAAAATTCTGCATATAAAGTATAACACTTGCATATACTATGAAGCAACCAAAAGAACAAACTAAGAAAAATTAAACATGTTCTTATCTCAAAGAAAATACCAAATAAACATGCAAATAAAATGTATGGCATGAAAATACATAAAAGAAAAGGGAGGGCCTATTTCAAATGCTATACTATTTATGTTATATTTTGTGAGTGGAACACCAGATTGATATGTTCCTGTGTATCTTAAAGTCATGTGTTTGTCCAGACAATCAAACAAGGATGATGTTTCTATAAGGCCCAGGGTTTATGAAATAAAATAATGCCTCACCTCGAATCCTTGTCCGGAAAGCACTTTCGGCAACGGAAATATCCATGATGGCTCTAAAATCAATTTCCAAGACCAACAATGAAATTCGAAATGTAAAAAATTGTATAGATCTTGTGGATCTATAAATACATATTTTTAGGGTGAAATGGATGGTCTAGATAATTTATTACTACAATATACACTATTTTTAGAGCTTGAAATCCTATTTTTTTTCACAACCATAATGTTCAAGATAAGATGATCGATGTAAAGATTTTCTAATGCTTGAATTGTAAATTTCGCTGAGTTATGAGGCAGGCTTTACTTATTTTGAGAGGGCTGCAGCCCTATCAAACTATTTTCCATCAAACAATGCCTTCATGCACACATGTCAGTGCACTAGTCTTGAAAGCAATTCAAAAGATATTTTCTGGATTTCAATTAACATAGCAATCAATGTTCAGAAAATCGACCCGGTCAAGGTACTCGGACACTGGCCAAGGAGATTTACTCGGGCAAGTCCGCACAACTCGCCCAAGTCCAGCGCTTTTTTTTTTTAAGAAAATGAAGACAAAAGCAAGTTATAAACAGTACAAGCGCCATTTTTTTAACATTAAGCAACACATTGGCGTGTTGGTTATTGCTCCCGCTATAAATAGACCTCTTTACAAGAGTCCGAGTTACCTCGGCTGAGTCTTAGAACGCTGATAACAATCATAAAATGAGAAGAATTTCAGTATCACCAACCAATATAATAAACAAAACACCATACCCCATTCATATTTTTCTTGTAAATCCTGCAATCTGGATTTTTCATGTATAAAAATTTAGTTCAACATCAAACCTACGACTTCCCTGAATATTTTCGTAATTGAGCAGCAAAATTTCAACTCTCGCAACGAATCACTTGGTATTCTACAATTTTCAACGTACACGACTCTGTATCAACTTTTAAGCACAGTCAATATAAGGCCAAACATCTAAATCCCTAATCTGCCATCTTTTATGTTTTCCAACATATCTCAGAATCACAACACAAACTGATCATATCTCAATATTTTTCCAGAAAAAAGGAGCAACCCTAATTTTATCAAATATGCCACTTCTACAGCAAATAAGTCTCAAACAAAATGGGCAAGCAGGAACTAAAAAGGGATTGAGATCCAGCCCAAAAAATAGCAAAAAAACACAATAGATTCGATAACAATCGGTTAACTAACTAGACTTACAATATGATCTACCAATTCCTGCGCACAGAGGAAGAGAGAGAGGCCTCAATTCTTGAAATCAGTTCGAGAGCTTCCTGTGAATTATATCGGGATCGCTGGCCTTGATTCTTTGAATTTCCTTTCTGCACAAATCAACATTCTAGTGAGAGAGAAAAAAGCAAAAGAAAAGCCATCTCCTGCATAATATAGATAAGGATGAGAGAGAATTTGATCTCTAACCAACCATAACAGTACCTGATAGATGATTGTGGTTTGTGAACAGTTTGATTTCACGAGCGAGAAAGAGAAAAAAAGGTCGAATGGGGTTTAGAGAGAGAGAGTGATTTGGGTTAGGGGAGAGAAAGTTTCCGGTCAGGGTTTGATGCAGAGAGAGAGAGAAAGATTCTGCATTGCGGGGTTCGTTTGAGCTTCGGGTTTTGAGCTTTGAGCTATTGTCACGTAGAAGGGGAACTGCTTTGTGCGTCGGGGTATGCAACCCTACATTTTGCGTCCCTCACGACTAAAGCGCACCCATTTTTAGCATAGAAGTAAATTGGTGGTCCCATAAAAAAAACTAATACTAAAAATATTTTCCAAAAATTTAGTTTTTTTGTTATTTATTTATTATTTATTTCACATATCAAAAAGCAAATACTGAGGGTTTAGAAATTTTTTTTAAACATCATCATTTTTAATTTTAAAATTTTATATTTTTACATATCAATGATCCCCAATTAGAGATTATATATTCCTAAACAAATTAAGTTCACCATTTAAGGATCTGGACCTCCAAATTTTTTTCACCTTCATAGAAATGGGAAAAATTGAGTGATGTTGGGAATCTTCCATATAGAATTGCGTGGCTTTTAGTTCGGATCCGTATAGGTCGATCCCGAACTAGCTATTTTTTAGTCCACTAATTTTGAAAAAAATATCAAAATACTCATATGAGAATTATTTGACATCGTACCTATATTGTTTGATCTAATTTCAAAATACCCATAAAAAGGCTCAATATCATATCGTTAAAAATGCAAAATGTTCAATAGTGTGTCTCTCACAAGTACTTTGATAAATTCCGGTAGTTAATACAAATTTTTTTAACGGTGTCGTTCAGAATAAGCGTCAACTTTAAACGATCAAAATAAGGTGCGCCTCCAAATTCTTTCTATAGATGCAATTTAGGTGCAATGCATTAAGGTCAGGTTTCAGAAGGTGAATGAAAATGTCAAATCAAAGTAATTGGATGAGATTTCAGACAGATTTGCCCAAAGTGGGCAAATTCTTTTTGACCAAATCGGCCAGCAGTAGACCCAAATTGGTCGAATCTAACCAAAACGATAGCACCAAGCTTCACTTCACTTCAGTCTAAGCCTAAATTCCGAAAGCTTCGGCCTTTTCAGTTAAACAAAGCGAATTTCACAACACTGAGCTAGTCCAATTGATCTACACCAATATTGATGAAAGTCTACCTTACTTAAAACTCTACCTTACTTAAAACTCTAAGGTTCCTACAGTCCTAGGGTGGGGATTAAGCCATTGTTATCCTGATAGGGTGGGATTAAGCTATCATTATCCAGATTGATGATATCTTATCCTTTGCCCTGCGTGCACCATAAGGTAAGCAACCTTACTGAGAGTACTTGGGTTGGAGCCTCAAGTACGTTCGTTACAAAGGAAAGTTTACCACGACAGTATGTACAGCAGACCAGCAATAAACGGTACGATTAATAACACATGATGCTTACGGTGTACTTTCGCTCGAGCACACTGTACACTTGATGATAACTTAGGACTTTTGGTCATGGATATTAATTTTTTGGGGCTCACATAGAATGTGTATTTTCTAATTTTCTATTTTTAAGGTAAGTCACTAAGTCGTTGAGGTTATGCGTCCCAATTCTTGGGTCTTTTAAATAACTTTAAGTCAACGTCTTATCTGATGGAGTGAATGCAAGATATCCTTTTCCTGGATCATGTGTTCTTCTCTTTTTGTTTCAGTGATTTTTGGGCATATAATCTTTTAGCAACATAGAATCCCATGTAGTTCCATTATTTGGTGTAATAGTAAAAAGTTCGGGTAGCCGGCACAAGAATGCGGGTTTGAGTTTTGATAGTGACATTTTGTACATAAGCCAAATGTTAGGATGTTTCCAGCCCACCCCTCTCAAACCTCTGCTTAGGCAGGACCAACACCGAATTATGAACCTTTTAGAATCCCATAATATATAAATCACACAATGATAGTAATAGCATACAATCGTAGTAATATGTGCTTATCAATCACCCTTTTGCCAATACAGTTTGCTTCTCAACCATCATTTGTAAGAAAATCAAGAGTATTTTATTTGTGTAGGTTGAGGACCCATACGTTTTACAATAAGGGAATGTGAAATGTAAAACTATTAGCTTTTGGTACATGATGGCCACAATTACTCTTAGATATCGGATAAAAAATCCGATCCTTTGGACTATGCCGAGCATAATGAGGAAAAAATAGATTTTGACCTTGAACCTAAGGTACACCTCCAACCACCATATTCACAACTAAGGGTCAAAAGTAATTGTGAACTCCTCCTACCAAAAGTAAACGATCTTATTAAAAATACTTCTCCTTGGAGAGATGACCTTGCATAGTTTGCTTTATATAGATAAATCGCGATCACCACCATTTAAGCCCTATAATGGACGGTAGAGATGGTTCATATGCTAACGGTGGATCTTTGAGCAGAGATACAGACCATCTCCTGTGTTCATGATACTCATCTAATGCTTGTGATCGAGACCTATGTAAAACCTGTAGGACCCCGTCCCACTAGATCATTTGTCTGATTATTTAGGAGACGAACTCGATTAAAGTGGCCTTCAAATTTGGTCTAGCCCGAAAGCCTCACTTCTACACTTCAAATATGTAGATTGTGTGTGTGCGCGCGCGGTTTAGGGTAATTTAGTCTAGCCCAAAAAATCTCGCTTCTTCACTCAAATATGTCTGACTTTCTTTTTTGGTTTTTTTCATTTTTCTTTTTTTTTTTCTTTTTCTTTTTGTATTAAATCAATCATGGGGTTCCAACCATGGGCATAGGATTGTAGCTATTAAGATTTTAACTAGAGAGCCCAATGCTTACATTCCACTATATAATTTGGGGGGGTGTATATTATGAGACCATTTATTTTGGTACAAAGAGGTGACAATTATTTTTGGTCATTGGATGTGAAATCTGATAGATGAAAGAGTGTCACAACAATCAAAAAATTTTGTTTTGAACTTTGAACCTAATTAATGGCACATCCTCAACCACCTGATTTTAGATCTAACGATCAACGATGATTACAACCTCATTGTATCAAAAGTAAAAGGTCTCAATGTATACAGTTCCATAATTTGGGATAACTATATAGAAATAGATATATTATGGGCTAATTCTTTCCATGGGCCATGTGAATCAATGGTGCTTGGTGTTATAAATTAGTAAACTTTCGATATTATCACCTATTTGCCATTATTTTTATAGAAAATTTATCAAAATAGTCAAATCACTTAAAGGGAGCCAAATCAACCAATTTATCAACAAATCGGTTACTCCATTGAAATTATTCTACCCAAGCATCTCTTGAATATTGTGTTTAAAGAAAGCCCAAATACCCATGTTCTAGGTTTGGACCCTGAGCAACAAGTGTCTTTTGATTATTTCACCTATGATACAAATTAGGTCAAATCATTAAAATGTGGTTGCTGGTTCTAGATTCTAAATCTATAACCAGGTATTTTAACAACAATAGATGTTTCGAGTTTAGAACATAGAAAAAGGGGGTGGTAGTTTCATCATTTGGCTCGAGCCACTTGACTTAAGACAAATGTGATGTAAATGTCCTCCTTGTTTGCGTTCTAAAATTGGAATATGTGATTTATAATTAAAATATAGGATCGTTTACAAAGATACTATTTATCTTTTGTACACAAAGGTCACAATCTTTTTCATTCATTAACTCATTAGATGTCAAATTGGATGGCTTGGGTGAGTCGCGAAGTTCGAAATTTTTTTTTTTAGATATGTCAATTCAATGACACTCTTACAGCCACCCATTTTGAGATTTAAGAGACAAATGATTGTGATCTAAATGTACAAAAAATAATCAATTGTCTCTTTACATACCATCCCTTCAAATATTTGTAATTAAAAGATTTTTCTTTGTTTCCGACTTGAAACGAGCAAGCATGTTTACAATTGGATTAGGCCACTTAAGTGGGGAAAAATTAGCAAAATATTCCCTTGTTTAAAATTTCAAATACAAAGTGTGAGCATTTTGGGTATGTATGTCTTGGTAACATAGATGAAGCGGTATTTAATCGAAATGACCCTTTTAAGTAGACACTCTATTGATAAATTGATCATTTGGACCCGTTATGGTCATTAAATTTAGAGTAATTCATGAACGGACATAAAAAAAAGAAAAATAAAAAAGAAAAAAGAGAAGGAAAATAAGAAATGGGCCAATTTTGGTTGAAAATTATACGGAAGGTCCATCAACCCATATTTTTTTTCTTCTAAAATTGCCACTCGGTCAGCTTTTTATTTGTAGGGGAATGCCCTAATGTGAGGGGAGTGCCCAGTCCAAAATACGGTATGAGTTATTTCTTAGCAAACAAATGAGCAAATGTGGTCCAAGGATGCCAACCTTGGATTGCCTTGAAAAGCAGCAAAGAAGACGGTTTGAGAATGGGTAGCCAGGACTGCCTCTGAATGCTTAACAAAGTTAGTCGTTGCGGTATGAGGATGCCGACCTCAAATCGCTTTGAAGAGCACCACTGAAGTCGGTCCAATGATGCGATATCAGACCGATTAGGCACTACCCCAAACATTAGAGCATAACCCTCCTGTCGAAAACACTTAAAAAATATATATATTAAAATGCAGTACGAGGATGATATCCTATGTTGATCCACCTTCCACGTAATTTTAACCCAAAATTAAATCATTTCGTATTTTTTGTTTTTATCCGTACATAATTCACTGTTAAGTTTAAGCTGTTATGACTAGAGAAATAATTTTTTCTCTTGTTTCTATGAAAATGAAAAAAACTCTCACTAAATATTGTGGAAGAACTTGAAATGTTGGGAGCCAAGACTTTTCAATAAAGCAATCAATATTTTAACATTTGATGGAAACTTTTGCAACTACCCAATATTTTACAACATTGAATTTGAAGCATTCATCACAATTTTACAGTGAGGATCACATTACCCAAAGTTGAAAGGCACACAAAGGACAAACACACATAGAGACTTGTGGATTATAGAATGGATTAAGAAAAGCCACCAATATAACGAAAATAAAAAGGACAAATGCATCCAGAATGATTACACAATGACAACGCAAGAAATAAACATCTGTTAAGTATAGTCCATTTCCACTTGCTTCTCCTAGGCTATAATTTATTTTGTACGTCAGTTTGGCCACCCACATATTTAGTGATCCACCCAATGTTGTGGGTTGATCCAACCCCATTCTCTAGGGTGGATTACCAAAAACATGGATGGCGAAATTGAAGGAAAAATAAGACATGGGTTTCTCTAACCTAATACCAAAGACAATGGGTCTATGGCAGGTATAAATGATCAAAGAAATCAAGGCTTGGAGAGGGAGAGTCTGAATAAAGAGTCATGGAGTTTGAATCCAATGGTTTATTTGAGTTGAACATAGGAGGAGAGATCAAAAAGCCATCTTCAAAACAAGGAGTGTAGAGAGTTGAGTTGAAATCATGGAAACTAGGGTTTGCAGATGGTGAAGGTTGAAGTAAGCAAGGGGAGATAGGAGTGGGAGATGGAGAAACTGGGCAAATGGTTTCTTGAGTTGGGGGAAAAGGATTGCCCCTCACTTCAATTCCTGGGTCTTGAACTTGGTCTAGGTCAAAGTTTGAGAGAGGAGTGTGGCCATTAGGTCCATACTGGTTATTATAAGAAGAGAACAGCAGAGAATTAGAAGAAAAAGAAGACGAAGAAGAAGAAGAATAAGAAGAAGAATAAGAAGAAGATGAAGATGAAGATGACGATGATGATAATGATGATGACGACGATGATGAACCGGTCAGGCGTTGCACCAGGGTCATGAAGTCATGCGCCTTCGCATGGATGACCTTTGGCGATCGTGTGTAAATTATCACCGGAGGGCGGTAAGGAACGGAAGGAGGCAGCGGTGCAACATGGTGCGCCTTCTTGATCTTTCTCGAGCCTTTGTTCACCATCAGAGGAGAAGGCCTCTGACCTTGGAGCTCTCTCCCACTCACCAGCCTTCTTGATTGTTGGTGAGAGGAAGCCATGGTGCCTACTGGTTCAGTAAATTAAACTCAGCCAAAACTAATCTCTTGTTTTTCAATCAAACATGGAAGGATTCAAAAGGTTTTAGGTTTTCGAAATGATTGATCCCTCCATATTCTTGCACTGACTCTTTGCAGGAAGAATACAACAATGGGACCATGAAGTCCAAGATTATATAGGGCAAAAGAGGACCATGTAGGCATAGAAAGAGCTGCTCATCTTTGAGCTGGACTAAGTCTTTGAGTGGGTCATAGAGTTATTTTGAAGAAGACTGGACTATGAAGACCCAATGGTTAGATTTGTGTAAGGAAAAATGAAAAGAAAAGTCAGCTTAATAATTGGCAAAAAATCAATTTAACAAACAGCATGAAAAATACAGGTCTTTCCACCCTTGGATATAAGAATGAATAATAAATATGAGAGGGGCCAAGTCAAGAGAAATGCTCATTAATAGAAAGGGCCTAAAGAGGAAAAGATCAATTAGAAGTTTCTATGGTACACGGTTTTAGCACCTAAACTAAATGTGTAATTTGAATCATAGAAACTGTCCATTTCCTCCACAAGTCATTGTAAAAATTATTTTTCAACTGCTCTAATTATTCAATAGAATTTTGGATAAAAGTTTTCACTGCTCATCAGTTTGGATATTGGCAAATAATTATGATAGAATTAAAATTTTTTTATTGGATTATGAATAACATTTATTTAGTAAAATATTTGAAGCACAGTGGTTTTCCATATGGTATTAATCATCCCAAAAGTTTTTTTTTTTTTGAACAGTAAATGTATTTCATTTAGATAAGGACACTGTTAGCATGCAGCAGACCCGCATATTATAGAAACAGGGGCTTGGCAATAAATATATTTTTTAAATATAATTTGTTCCTAATTTTTAGAGAATATATAATCTTTAACATGGAGCTCATGAATATGAAAAAAATAATAGTTTAAAAAGTAAAAATAATAATTATATTAACAAAATATTTGGAGCATTAGTTACAATTGTTTTTAGATGGACCACCTATTTGCATCCATTTTTAAGATGGATGCTTTATACCTCTGGACTGTATATTGTAGAAATGTGGTCCAGCCCGCATGAAACAATTGTTCTTGAGATAATGTTAAAAGTACAAGGACCAAAAACAAAAGAAAAGGAAATTGGAGGGGGGAGTAGACATAATAGTAGAGATAGGACGAGGGGAGAAATAAAATAAGAATTAAAATGAAGCTCCTACTTTGGCTAAGCAATCTGCATCTCCATTTTGTTCTCTGTGGATGTGAGTGAAAACTACTTTTCTCCCTTGTCAAGCTAAAACAATCACGTCCATGATTGAGGTCCAGGCCTAAGGCACAAGGTCTGGGTTTTTGCACCAGGTCCAGGCCCAAGGCACAAGGTCTGGGTTTTTGCACCAAGTAATAACATTGGCAGAGTCCCTTTCAAGGATTAAGCAAGAATCGCTATATTGAAGCTCAATTACTCATTCCTTCAAAGCCTAGAGCTCCACCTCATTTATGTCACAAAAGTGCATGCCACCTTGATACTATCACTAGATTACTCTATTTGAGTCTCGCAAGAGTTCCGAATACCCTGTTGATTGTTCCTTGAGTTTGATACTCCCATCCAAATTGTAGAAAATTTATTTGCATGAAAAGTGTGGATATAATTTATAACATTGTTGGAAGAACATCCAAGAGAAAAATAATTTTTTTGGTTATATCTTAGGGCTGGCCTTCTAAATGTCTCCACATAGAATTTGTGCGTTTGGAGAGATCCATCAGTACGATCTCGATTGGACAATAGGGACCGTGCGGACCACAATATCATACATTGAATATGGCTTAACAAACACAGTTGGCACCAATTTGTGATATTGTTCGTAACTCAGTCGTGTTTGTCTAATCAAGATCAAACGACAAATTGCCATGGCTCTCCAGATACATATATTTGTGAAAACACATAAAAAGATTTTTCAATGTTTTAAGGTTACACAATGTTTACCTTTTACACTAATGTTACGTGTTAGAAACTTAGCATTGAAAAAATAGCAAATAATATGGAAAAATGCACCATGGACCTTTTCTTCACAACAATAATTAATTTAACACTTCCTTGTTATCTAAAAATGATGTCCAATGTCTATGCGTGCAACTTCAAATTCTCACCAATCTTATCTAAACTCTCATATGTTGTACGACATTGCCATTAGAGTTTAGTTTAATATTTTAAAGAATTTAAAATCCATACTAGAGATAGACTTTGAAGAAGAATTTTGGATCTAAAGTTTTACGGAATTATATGCAATGAGGCTATTTATTTTTTATACAATAAGGTCATAATTATTTATAATCATCCGATGTGAAATTTGATAGCTTGTGTGTATCATAAAAATTTTTAAAAAATCTTTTAAACTTTGAGCTTGGTCAATAGAATAAATGCAACCACCCAATTTCACATCCAATGATTACCTTGTACCAAAGATAAATGGTCTCATTGTATACTTTTCCAATATCTCGACCAAATGATATGAATATCAAAAAAAAAAAAAAGGAAAAGAGGATGAAGAGAAACTTTGATCTTCAAAAGCAGTCGATTTTGTACTCGTTTGGACCTTTCATTTGAACTCCTTCAAGATCATTATATTTGTACTGTTTTGGAGCTCCAAATAAGGATTTGAGTAAAAACTTAATTTACAATACTTTAGGAAGCGTTTTAGGTGCTTGAAAACCAAAAGCAGACACATGAGCATGGCGGACACACAAAAAACTGCCAGACCACAAAAAACTGCTTGAAATTATCGAGGATTTTAAACTGCCAGACCACCAAAATCTGCTAGAAATTATTAAGGATTTTTTCCATAGTAAATGTTTAGAAATTGCATAGATGATTGTTCCTATCTCCTTCATTTTCACTCCATGATCTTTTTCTGTTGTGTTCCTTGCATCTTTTCCTTCAACCCAGTATACGGCCCCTTCTCTCTCATATATTTTTTTTATATGTTAACGGTGGGAATCTCTCTCTCGCATTTAACAGTCGGAACATAGGGTGGGACGTTATATTGAGGCATCTGCCCCCCTAACAGGCTTTCACCGTTTTTATGAGTCCACTTAGAAATGAATCCCCTTTTAAAAATCTATTTTTTGAGATGGATTTTTGGACCCAGTTTTTAAGCACAAATAGTCTCTAACATGGAGATAATGAATACGGATAAATAAATAAATTTTTAAAATTAAATATAATAGTTTTTATAAAGAACACACTATGACAGTTAGTTTCAACTGTTTTTAGATGGATAGCCAATTTGCATCTATCTTAAAAAATGAGCGTCGGGGGATGCAAATGTAGAAATGCATCCCCCCGACTCATGGAACAATTTTCCTTTATTGTATAATTGAAGTCCACCTATCATTTATTCTCAAATTATTTTTTGAGTCCATGCAATAACCATGACCTTATTATGGTTTTATCTTATAATTTTTAAAGAATTTACAAATTGTGCAAACAATATACCTAGCAACTTGCAACATGACGTATACAAGACCATGCTTATTTACTCAATTTTACCCCAAAGACCCCAATAGGGTCTGGCAGTTGGTACGGACCGGTTCAACACGTGCTCATGCCATTGACTTACTGTCCTAATTTTCCTTCATTTAATAGGTTAGTGGTCCCTGGAATCTAGTGCTTGCACCCCACATGGGGTAAACACGCCTTACAAAATAATCATCGCGCTAAAATATTTCAATTAGTATTAAAAGTTCAGATTTTTATTTGTATTTTGATTTTCTATTATAAAATCATTTTTAAAAAAAATTCTCAAATTGCGTCAGGCCAGACATGAACAAATTATGATATTTCAATAATTTGGAATGCATAAGAAGCTCAACGCAAGGATAGGATTATCGAAATACAGTTAGAAAATGCCAGGATTATTGAAATACATTTAGAAAAATACTTTTACTTGTTCAGGCTTTTTACCCTAAATAGGGGTAATTTGGATATTTTTTATATAATTTTTTAAGTAGAACCAGTGTGAATTGAAATTATAAAGATATTAGTAATTAGTTTTATCAAGATTAGACGGGCCACTAATTGATGAGGGTTCTGATCTAGACAAAATCGGTTTGGTCAGGTTTTAAAAATACTAAAAAAATTTGAATAATAGTTTAAAAATACATAATATATCAAAAAAAGTTGCCCACTTAATTTGCCCATTTGAACGATCAAAACTAGTTGGTCAAAGTGGCCAAAACCAATCAAATACTAGTTTTCATGAATTTTTATGAAGCCGAGTTTAACTCTAGACCAAACCAAACAAAGCACCGGCCAACGGTTTGGTTCGACTTCTTAGACTGCTAGTTCGGTCCAAGCTTGATAACTATGTGTTTATTGGATGCTCATGTGAATGCAAGGCACCCACAAAGTAAGAGTATCCAAATACACATATTTCACTAGAACTCATTGTTCAATTTAGATTTTTTTTTTTTACTTAGGTCTATGAATTAAAAAGGTTCATCATCATCATTATAACTTTTTTTTAATTAATTGAAATCGGCTACATAAATTTTAATCCTTCATTTTGCCTTATTAAGGCTATACCCATTAGTTAAAAAAGGTTACGTTCCCAAAATTTAGAATCCTAAAATTACTCTTTAACTGGGGGAGTAAATCAACAATATACTCATGTGGTAGTATAAATTTTGCCGGCTAGACTGATAGTTGGCTTTACACGTGGTCTACGGGAGCAAGTGTGTAATAGACAAACAAGTGTGGTTTGCCATATTTTTATTACTTTATTTATTCAATTTTTTTCCTAAAGACTCGGATGGACTGGTATGTCTGGCTTTATGGACCCGGCCAACACGGTCTTTCATGTATTAATGGTGGCTTTCATAGCTTTCTTATTACGCTGTGGTGGCCCAATATTACGGCCTCGTGCATATCTGTCCAAAAATCTTAAAAACGCTATTAAGGCAAAAATGAATAGAAGTTCCACGATAATTATTGTGACTTTTTAAACAATAGTTTTTCTTGTAAAAAATCGATCATACCGGATATGCTATGTCTGTTGTGGTGTGGTCGATCTATCCATGCCATTTGAAAAAAATCAGATAGCACTGAGCTTATAGACGAAAACGCTGTTCATTTTCACCCATAAACTTTGCCTAGTGGCTTCTTTTTTCAAATATTATGCCAAAGTCAACCTTATAGTGCCTATCTTTTTT